CAAAACATTCATAAATTCATACCGCAAAGGCTCAAGAGACAGACTCTGAGGGACAGCGTTCACTTTTGAAAAATGAGAGAGGGCTGCTTCAGAGAGATACGTACCTGGTCCGAGTTCATCCATAGGAATCATATCCCGACTTCCAGTCTTCTCATTATCTATAAAAACGAAGAATTGAAATGGTTGTGTGAAAGGTACAAACTGGCTCAGAACTTGGTTCGTGCATTTTTAAAAAAAGTAATTTGTTACACTTGAAGTTCCGGGACTGCCAAAATAGTTGCCATTATAGTTGCAACTAAAACAAATCTTTTTTTAAAAAAACTTTCTCATTCTTCAAAAGTAACTCAATACTTTAAAACAAGCAAAAACTACAAGGCAGTGCCAAACTACATGGCTACTGCATCCGACACACCTTAAAAGGAAATACAGTGGTGCCTCGCTTAATCAGCGCACCGTTTAACGACGAATCCGCGTAGCGATCTGTTTTTTCAGATCGCTAATGCAATCGCATTGCGATATTTTCAACGGCAAAACATCGCATTGCGATGATCGTTAAGCGTTTCGCTTACCGATCTTTGCATTGCGATGTTTTTTTAAACAGCTGATTGGCGATTCCAAAATGGCCACCGGATGCCCAAAATGGCCGCCACAACCATTTTCGCGCCCTATCCTCACTTACCAAGGGCGCAAAAATGGTGGCGCTATGGAGGAACTTCGCTGAACGGTGAGTTTGGTGCCCCATAGGAACACATTAAACGAGTGCGTTTAATGTGTTCCTATGGGTTTTTTTGATCCGTTTAGCAATGTTTTTGCATAGCGACGATTAATCCGGAATGGATTAGCGTCGCTATGCGGGGCACCACTGTATGTTACTCAAGGACAAAGATGGCACTTTAAAGACTAACAAGGTTTTGTTTTATTTTCTTTGATTGCAGCCTTATGCCTCTGCTGAAGTGGGCTGTTGTCTTAGAAGGCTTATGCTCAGCACAGCTTATTTCTCTTTTAAGGTCTAACAAGGTTCTCTCTCTTTCTTGTTCTTGCTAAGAAAACAATTATAATCATCTTAGAAATGCAGAACCGGAAGGGACATTCGGGATCATCGAGTCCACCCCTGTTAAAGAGGCACAACGGTAATCAAACTCCAAGCCAAAAATCTACTACTGAACTGTAGTTGTAATAATAAAAGTAACTGCTACTATACCTTTGTAATTAGAGCAATAAACAAACCGAGTTACATTATAACTGGAAAGTTACACTTGTAACGCCCACCTGGTGTGTGATTTTTAATTACCTGGAAAAAGGGAATGGTTAACCACTTCTGAGTCTTCTCTATGTAGAAAACCCCGAAGTGAGTTGCCACAAGTTAGAATTTACTTGATAGAGCATGCGTGCACATCTGCGCATGCACCACCACCAACATCGAAAAATACCGGACACCGTCAATCAAAAACATAAATACATTGGCCGTTATATAATAACAGATGCAAGTTTTAACCAAAAAGCTAATTATCTGTTAAATATCAGCGCAGTATGTACGCTGTTCCTAATATTGCTGTTTTTTGTAGCTCCGAGGGTGTGATTTCCAAGATCTGCAACAGCTTATAATACTGCATGAGTTGCAATGTCAATGATCCAGACATTTCTTCGTTCTATTGCTATTATGTTTGGTGTGTTATGTTCATGGTGTCTATATCAGTTTGGATCTGGAAATCCCACAAGATGATAATGATTGTGCTACTACTTTATTAGCATGAAAAGGACAGGAGAACATCCTCACCATGGAGGATTGGCTAGCTGTTAACTAATATGAACCCCATCAACAAAGCATGTTGAGTTTGAGGAATCAGGGCCAAAGTTGACATGATGTTATTCATGCGGTTAACTGGGGAGGGGGCATGATCCAAACATGTGGCACGGTATGGAAGTAGGGAGGCTTCCCTCCTGAAGTTTTTCCAGTGCAGACTAGGCCTCCAGAGCTGCTAGTCTGTATATGTAAACCAAGGAATATAACAGTCTACTGCACAATTAATACCACTTTTAGTTCAGCCAAGTCCCATGATTAATGTGGCATGCCTGGTTTGGATATTGACAGGGGTTTAATGTTCACAGATGGTTCGGCCCTGGCTAAACAGCACCTCCGGGGGTTGATACAGACCTTGACTTTTATCCACGAGAGGCAGAGTGCTGTCATCGTAGCCTGATTTGCAAGAGGTGCCTTTGGATCCCTTAGGAGCAGCCGACGCAGACTAGAACAGAAGGGAGACATGCCAGCGTCAGCAGTTTGCAAGGAACCGCATGGAAAGCAAAAGTGCACTTTTCCAAGTTTGAAATGAAACCCTCGCTCCAGGAAAAACCCATCTGCTTCCTATTTTTAGCATGATGGTCTTCAGCAATACCTTGCCACGCTGAAACCTTGCATTTTTGGTGATGGAGGAGAGCTGTTTTGACTTCAAACAATTTAAAATAAAACAGAAGATGCTAAAAACATTAAAACCATTGCAATAAAGCCTACACAGGTCACTATCCTCAACCTCCAGAGATTCTCATAAAGAAGTCTGTCTCTTGATTTGGTGCTGAAATGATGCCAAGAGCAGCCTCTAAGGAGAGGGCATTCCACAGTTCGGGTGCAAGGGCAGGAAAAGCCCTTTCTTGTGCTTCTATAGAATAGACTGTTCTCAGTGGTATGATACAGAGCAGGGCATTCCTTATTTATTTATTCGATTTTTACCCGATTTTTACTCTAGAGAACGTCTACTCGGGGTGGCTTACATAGGTTAAAACACAACAACATAACATATATAAAAACAATTAATTTTAAATTTTTAAACAATACATTTCCAAGATGGCAAGACTCAAACAAGGAAGAAAAAGAAAACACTTAATTGACTGGAGGGAAGGCCTGTTTAAACAACCAAGTTTTCAACTGGTTTTTGAAAACACCCAGCGAGGGTGCCAGCCGAATTTCAGTAGGGAGAGTGTTCCACAGCTGAGGGGCCACCGCCGAGAAGGCCCGGTTTCTAGTTTTTTCCTTCCGAGCCTCTCTCGGCGTCAGGCCCCTCAGCCGTCCCTGCTGGCTGTGTCAGGTGATTCGGGTAGATCTGGGTGGAAGAAGACGATCTGCCAAATATTGAGGTCCCAAACCGTTTAGGGCTTTATATGTAATCATTAACACTTTGAAGTCGATGTGGAAACAGATGGGCAACCAGTGCAAGGCAGTCAGAGTGGGGGAGATGTGCTGGTATTTTCTCACCCCACTAAGAAGCCTGGCTGCTGCATTCTGGACCGTCTGAAGTTTCCGCATCAGCCTCAAAGGCAGCCCCACGTAGAGTGCATTACAATGATCTAATCTCGAGATTACAAGTGCATAGATTCCTTGCAGATCTAAGTCCCTGGGCAGGTTTATATAGTGGAACTTATTATGCTGAGCAACATGATTTGTCTGTATATGCCATTCATGGTACGGAGGCCAACGGACTGAAGCTCTCGTTTGCAGAGTGGGGGAGATGTGCTGGTATTTTCTCACCCCACTAAGAAGCCTGGCTGCTGCATTCTGGACCGTCTGAAGTTTCCGCATCAGCCTCAAAGGCAGCCCCACGTAGAGTGCATTACAATGATCTAATCTCGAGATTACGAGTGCATAGATTCCTTGCAGATCTAAGTCACTGGGCAGGTTTATATAGGATTTGTCTGTATATGCCATTCATGGTACGGAGGCCAACGGACTGAAGCTCTCGTTTGTTCTGAACGTAACTCTGGGCTTGAACTCTGCACCATCCTCACCTGGAAATGAGATTTGTTCCAGCCTTCCTTCTGCAAAACGCTCCGTAGCTCTTTGTAACTCCAGGTCATCTGCAGGACATGAGAAGCGGCTTTCGTTTCCCTGGAGGACTGGCTGATTTTGGAGGACGGGTCGGTGGGGAGAGAAGCAGAAAGCAAACGTTTAAAGTCATATGAGCTCAGATGCTTGAGCTTGTGGACAATTTTACTCATGACATATACAAGAATGAGGAGGGGATAGTTGGCTGTCCTTTCAAAGAAGCATATCTGAAGCTCTGTTCCCATGAGCATCTTCATTGCATGATACATTTATCTATGATGATTAGGACCTGGTGGTTAGAAGGAGCTATTGGAGAAGACCTTGCTATACCGTCCCGGGGCAATCAATGGCAAACATGAAGCAGAAACATTCGCTGAACAACACCTCCAAAATTATTGTGCGAATTTAGCACGGAATCTCCAAAATGAAATCGGAAAGGTACGCGGATATCATACTATGTATCTTGGTTAATTTATCACATTTCATAACACTTTTCAGCCGCATCACTCATGGGGGCCATACAGTTTGCGAAGAGACATAATCTAAACTGATATGGAGGACATGCCAAATAAAATCTAGGTGGTGGTTGTTATGGATCATCAAGTTACTTCCAACTTATGGTGACTCTATGAATTACATGACGTGTCATAAACAGCTCCGCTCAGGTCTTGTCAATTCAAAACTGGGATTTCCTTTATTAAGTTAATCCAGTTTTTAAGAGAGGTTACATAAAAGGAAAAGAAAAGGAAGATGGGTGGGATAAAAAGAAATGAACACGTTATGTCATTAAGAAGGCCACGAAGTTACCAAGTGGAATGGTTCCCTTAGAACAGTGGTCCCCAACCTTGGGCCTCCAGATGTTGTTGGACTACAACTCCCAGAAGCCTTCACCACCACCTCTGCTGGCCAGGATTTCTGGGAGTTGAAGTCCAAGAACATCTGGCGGCCCAAGGTTGAGGACCACTGCCTTAGAAGACATGGAAAGGAAGAAGACCAACAGTGTGAGTACAGCTGTCAGCCTGAGGAGATGACACAGGATGGCTGTCAACAGAGACACTTTCTGATATAGAAATAGCCAATGTAAGTAGGACCTGGGATGTGGTGGCACTGCGGGCTAAACCGCAGAAGCCTGTGCTGCAGGGTCAGAAGACCAAGCAGTCGTAAGATCGAATCCATGCGACGGAGTGAGCGCCCATCGCTTGTCCCAGCTCACGCCAACCTAGCGGTTCGAAAGCAGGCAAATGCGAGTAGATTAATAGGGACCACCTCGGTGGGAAGGTAAACAGCGTTCCGTGCCTAAGTCGCACTGGCCATGTGACCATGGAAGATTGTCTTTGGACAAAACGCTGGCTCTACGGCTTGGAAATGGGGATGAGCACCGCCCCCTAGAGTCGAACACGACTGGACAAAAATTGTCAAGGGGAACCTTTACCTTTAAGCAGGACCTAGTTAGGACAATGGACCAACCTTTGAGCTCTCTTGTCTCTGATGCAACCCAGGAGAGTAGCTATTGATGGGGACATGAAGGGAAAAGCCAATGGAACTGGGATCCCGTTAGGATGATGGAGAGAACCAAGCTGTGTCAACTCTCCCTCCAGTATAACCTGGTAGAAGGGCTGATGATGAAAGACAGCTGTCACAGGGGAAAGCCAGCCTACACTAGCTTCCAGCCAGGCTGCTGGAGGGGAACTCAACTGTCCCACCTCTCTCTCTCAGAGGTTAGCCTGATGGATGGATTCTGATTTACAAAGATTACGATTCCACACGTCGTCCTCGCTTAGTCTCAACCGGTGGTTTTCAACAATGGGTCCCCAGATGTTCTTGGACTACAACTCCCAGAAATCCTGGCCAACACAGCTAGAGGTGAAGGCTTCTGGGAGTTGTAGTCCATGAAATTCTGGGAATCCAAGCTTGAGAGCCACTGCTCAGGACTATCGTTCTTGTCTTTAGGAAGCAGGCCATGAAATAAGCTTCTATGAAGGATGAGTGACAGAGAGAATAATCTGTACCCAAGTCATGTCTTAGAACAGCAGGTCACACGCTTGTCTGGCCAAGATTTAAGCTTTAAAGGCACTGGCTTACAAATAATACAGGGACAGGTTCAGTCTGATTTTGGAATGATCGAGTATGCCTATCTTTAACCTTCATGTGCCAGGATGGGATGTTTTAATTCCCCAGAGTCATGTTTTTACTCCAGAGTCTACAGGAGAACAAAGTTGACAAAGCCGATGTTCTATTACGTTGTCATCCGAGGAGCTGTAAACAATGCTCTCAGATTCAACACAGCTGTGATGTACAAGGATTTTTTTTAAACAGACAAAGCAGATACTGTCTCCACTAGTCCATCATTTCTTTGTCCTATCCCAAATGTATTAAGAGAAAAATACATGCCACACTGAATTTTTCTCACTCAGTGATGACACCAAGATGTGATGCACTGTTGCTGTCATAAGGTTGACTCTCTTTAGGAAACCATGGATTTTTTGGTGCATCCAGGAAATACAAGACCAGTACATTTAACACAAACATAACCACAATGCTAAACCTACTATTAATCCTCAGTACCCAAGAATTCCAAAGGGTTCCAGAAGATACTCTAGAATTAACTCAATACAGGGCTCTTCTAGAGCACAAACCTATCTAGTCAGGATTAGGGTTTAAGGTTTTCTATCTCAAATGTAAACTTCTTAATATACTTAGTTATTTGTTTTTAATTGCTCCCCTCGCTCTCTTGCGGGCCCGGATGTCCACAAGCCTACACAGTTCCTACTCTGCTACATTGAGAGAAAGCTTAACATTTTTCTTCTCTTTGCGATCATTCACATCGGTGCAGGATGATTATATTTCGGCAAACCGGGGAGCCTCCTTCTAACACTGTTGTGAGACAAGAGAGAGCTATTGGGGGTTACTGCCCGTCTCCTTATAATGGCTCTCTGTCAGCTAGTTTATTCTGTTAACAGCTTGATCATTGCTGCCAATATAATGCAACATTGCAAAGGACAAGTGTCTCCCTCTTTGCCAATAAATGCCTGGATTTCCTTAAATGATGATACCTGATAAACACACGCCTGATGTTTTCGAATAGAGCAGGCATCAAGGGAACGAGTCCCAAGATGACTGACTGTTTCGTTTTATTGATCTTGTTTCTGAAGTCAACGCATCCTCTTAAAGGCACAGATTTATGCCACGGAGTTATGGCATGGGCTTTAAATGCTTTAGCTTTACATTTGGAAGTGGTGGGTGGTGGAGCAAGGAGGGGTCTCTGCATCTCCCTAAAGCAAAATGTGGACGCTATAGGTGTTGCTGAATTCTCTCTTTTTCCCCTGTTTCAGAAATATAACTCTTGGCAGCTCATATGTGTGTGTGTGTTTCAAGAGCCCCCTCCCCATAAAAGGAGGGACTAGTAGTAAACCATCTCTGACCACTTTGTATCTAGAAAATCCTCAGAAATATAACTCTTGGCAGCTCATATGTATGTGTGTGTGTTTCAAGAGCCTCACCCTCCATAAAAGGAGGGACTAGTAAACCATCTCTGACCACTCTGTATCTAGAAAATCCTGTGAGTATGACCATAGATCCCAACTGACTTGACACCACATGATTACAATTATATATATCATGCTATAATACACTGCATCTTTAAGGCCAAAAGTCTCCTGCGTTTTTTGTGTGCCTAATGGCACTCATGCAAGTGGCCGTCACACTTTTTCTGGGCCTCATGCAATGGCTGGCTGGCTGACCAGAAGCCTAGAAAACTGCTCACATTGCTTGTTTGACTGTGTAGGCAATAAGAATCTGGCCTAAAAGTTAACTGACTACCTGGAATAGAGCAGGGGCAAGGGGGGGATCAGGGACAAGATGTTCCCCCAGCTGATTTCTCAGTAATCTCACTCCCCAGATTTAGGTTCAGTGTGGCTTGCCTGTCACGTGTCGCAGTTCAGTGGAGCAAGAGGGACCATAGGTCAGTGCCTGGGTGCTGAAGACCCACGTTCAACCACTGGCATCACCAATCAATAAAGCAGTGGTCCCCAACCTTGGGCCTCCAGATGTTCCTGGACTACAACTCCCAGAAGCCTTTACCACCACCTCTGCTGACCAGGATTTCTGGGGGTTGAAGACCAAGAACATCTGGAGACCCAAGGTTGGGAAACACTGCAATAAAGGATCAGTCAGCCATGATCTCTGTCCAAAATCCTAGGGGGTCCTTACCGTTCAAAGCACACAATACTGGACTAAACAGACAAGCTCTCTTGAGATGCCACTAAGCAGCTTCCCTCTTTCCCAGTTTCTCACCTTGTGGAATTGTCAAAACTAACCTTGACTTGCTGATAGCAACCAGCTTTTGGATGCCTTGCGTCTGGATCAGGGACCTGGCGTTCTCGGAGCTGTCAGTAATGATTTCGTGGACTGTATTCAGAACTGCAACCACCGTGTCCTCCTCCAGGTTCTTGGAAGATCTCTGCTGTCGGCTAGGCAGATTTCTGACCAGCTCGCCCATAGCATAGCTGCCTGAAAACCAAAACGTGCCCCCCATTAGTCAAATGAAATTGCCGTTATAGCGAGTAAGAGGGTCAACGCTTAGGGTAAAGGTTGTGTTTTTTATGAACAAAGTTTTCGGATAACATTTCTCACCACCTCCATTTAAACAAACAGCAAGACCTATGCTGTTTCCATAAGACGCTCCAGTCTCTCAAAGAAACAGTGGGTCAGGAGTCTCATGGTGCGATAATTAAACTGAAGTACTACAATCAAGACTCTGTTCACAACCTGAGTTGGATACCAATGGACTCAGGTAGCCAGCTCAAGGTTAACACAGCCTTCCATGCTTCCAAGGTTGGTAAATTGAGTACAGTGGTGCCTCGCATAACGAGTGCACCGTTTAATAACGTATTCGTATAGCAACGCGTTTTTTGCGATCGCTAATGCAATCGCATTGCAATGATCTAAATGGCCAAAAATTGCATTGTGATGATCGGTAAGCGTTTCGCTTATTGATCTTCCCATTGCCATGTTTTTTTAAACAGCTGATTGGCGGTTCCAAAATGGCCACCGGGTGCACAAAATGGCCACCCGCAGTGTTTTCGCGCACTGCCCTCACTTACCGAGGTGGCGAAAATGGCGGCGTTATGGAGGATCTTCGTTCAACTGTGAGTTTTCCACCCATAGGAACGCATTAAACGGAGTTTAATGCATTCCAATGGGGTTTTTCTTGCCGTTTAGCGACGATTCTGGATATCGATGTTAATCCTGGAACGGATTAACGTCGCTATGCAGGGCACCACTGTACTCAGCTTTCTGGGGGAAACAATGTGTAGCCTGCATAACTAAACTGTGAAGCAGCCCAGAGAGAGCTTTAAGTTCGGTGGGTTGATATATAAGCAGGGCACTTTGCTTTGCTAACAATACATGGCAACGACTAGACGGAGGGCAAGCGACCTGCTCTCCTTCAGGTATTTTGGACGACAACTCAAAGCAGCACAACCAGTGTGGACAACTGTCAAGGCTGATGGACACTGACTCATAATATCCAGAAGGCACGAGATGAGTGACTCCTAGACTAGATAGACTATGGTCCGATGGAGGGCACAGGGAAAACGACGGAAAACAGAGACAGCTACTATATGTTAATCACATAACTGTCCTGCTCAAATTTAAAGCATGTGTTGGGGGGGGTTTGATTTCAACATCAAAAGGGGTTTCATGGGAAGATGGGCAAAGCTCTTCTTACTTTCCCACTTTCTGTCATCCAAACCCCTCTGGCCATGCTTCAGCACCAGTTGTGAGATGGGAGGTAGTTTAGTCAGAATTAGCTCTGATTTGGAATACAAGGGTCATCCTATACAGTGACCTCTGGTGCACCCCATCATTCCTGGCAAGGTTACCTGGATGCAGGCAGGAGTGTTTTGACACCCACCAGCGCACAGGACGGCTGTGGGAACTGCAGGAAATTAACCAGATTCAACGGCTTATCAGAGACCCAGGGAGGGCCCAGCCCGAGTGTTGCGATGCTAGCAATTTCCTTAGGATGCCAGAACTGAAGCCAGATCCGCCTCACCCATGCACACATCTCACAATAAAATAATAAAGTTTTACATAAAAATGGGCTATAGATAAGGTTAAATTAACATATCTCCAATGCCCTTTAGTTAGGATCTGTGGCCACTCCTTGCACCTCAGTGGGGCGGGGACAAAATAGGAGGCTTTAAACGAGCATTCCCATTAATTCAAGACCTCGTCATTCGGCTTTAAACGAGCATTCCCATTAATTCAAAACCTCGTTATTCTTTTTTTTTAAAAAAAGCAAATAATGGTCGATTCACTGCCCCAAATGCAGGGCATCCTGCAGAAAGGAAAAAAAGCAAAGGAATGTGCATTACTTAATTCAAAATTTGTAGCGATCGTATTCTGCAGTTTACAGCCCCCATCAAACTGGAACTAGGGAACAGTTGCTAAGGCTGTGCATTAATGATTGCGCACGAAGAAGTGGTTTTGTTGAAGGCATCCTTAAAATGGCCTGCATCTCCCTGAACAAGGTCTGCATATCCTTCACAATAAGCCACCCTTTAAGTGCCTCCAGAACACAGCCGTAAGCTGGCTTTCTTTTGTAATACCCGAGGCCATTCAAGGAAGTTGTACCTGGCAGGGGGAATACAGTGGTGCCTCGCTTGACATTAATTCGTTCCAGCGAAATCGCTGTAGAGGGAAATCGTCATCAAACGAAATTTAAAAAAAACATTGAAATGCACTGAAAACCATTCAATGGATTCCAATGGGCTGATTGAAAACCGTTCAATGCGTTCCAATGGGTAGATTACCTGCTCGTCCAGCGAAGATCCTCCATATGGCGGCCAGTTTTTTTGGTGCCTGTAATGCGAGGAATCCGTCCCTAACACAGCAGGGAGCCATTTTCTTCAGGTGCCATTTTGAAACCCAACAATCAGCTGTTTGCTGTTCGTCGTAAAGCGAAAAATCAGTTCCCGAAGCAGGGAACCAATCATCGCTAAGCAAAAAAACCCCATAAGCAGGGAACCAATCATCGCTAAGCAAAAATAAAACCATCTAAACATTGTGAAGCGATTGCAAAAGCAATCGCAAAAACTTCAATGTTAAGCGGATTTGTCGTAGAGCGGGGTAATCGTCCAGCAGAGCACGACTGTAATGGACACTGTGCTCTTAGCTGGAAGTGGGGTGCAACACCACTGCTTCCTCTTCAACCTCCTGCCTGTCCTTTTGCAAACACAGCATTGGGATTATTGATCAGAGCCAGGGGTATGAAAGCGATCTTGATCATAACGCTGCACGTTTCTGAGTAGAGTTTATAGTCCTGACTATACGTAAGTTTAAAATGACACCTATGGCCCAGGACACAGGGAGCCTCAAGATAGCCCAGTCCCACGTCTGGAGCGCTCTGACTTGAAATGCGCACCCACCCCACAAAAAAACATGTCAAGGCTGGCATTTCCTTTAAAACTTGCTAAGTTCCTTTTCTAATTTAACTAAGATTTGGATGACGGTTGTAAGGTATGCCAAGAATATGGAGAACACCAATCTGGAGCCTTTGGAAGATCTTTGGAGAACTGGTATTCGATTAACAAAGATGAACCACTTGCAATTGTTTAATAATGATAAGGATGAAACGATTCCTGCACCCAAGCTTCAATCATACTTCTGAAATGAAGAAAGCTTGGATTGTTCTGCAGAAAGGACCCTGAGCTCAAAAGAAATCCCTGCACCCAAAATTCTTTAATTTTAAGAATAATCTTCTAAAGTTTCTGGACCTCAGGGTTCTCACTCAGAACAAAGCCAACTGCATGAGCCTGAAATCTTCCTGGCCAGAAGCATTCCTCTGGGCTTTCTTTGAGAGACCTTCTTCGAAAACTGTTCAGAACGCACCTATGAGGTCTTTATTTCGGCGATCCATGGAGAGGTTCCTCAAAGCAATGGAGACGGCTCTCACCACCTTGTCCGAATCTGACTGAAGGAGCTCCACAAGGACCGGGAGACCTCTCTCCTTCCGTACAGTCGCCCGGATGTAGGTGGACCACTGGTCAAGAGGGAAGCGGAGGGTGAAGGAGAGAGAGAGACAGAAACAGAAATGTCAGAGTTTATCTGAGTTTCTGTGACAGCGTTTAGAGAGATTTAAGAGAACTTTTAAGTTGTGACAACCTAAAAGTCCCCCTGTATGATGTTGTATTGTCTAATGCAGCACCTTATCTTCCAAAGCAGCCAGGCTTCTCCTGAAGAGCGTAAGGAGAAGGTGAGGAGAGCTGGTAGGAGACGATTTCTTAGGATGTGCATTTTTAACTGCAAGTCTGATATCTCTTATGTTCCCAGGGATGGAATCTGAGACAGGGAGCCTAAGATCAGATGTGTCCTGGCATACCTTTGGAGTCATTACCAAGGGAGGCCTCAGTCTCCCAGGGTGCTGAGACATGGACTATGCCCAGGACTTTTACAGATTTTGTATAAATATTCTTCCACAGCGGATGCATTCCTCAAAACATGCTGAACTCTGATATACACATGCACTCTGATAGACCCATGCAGCCATGTCAGTAGCTCACAGGACCACAGCAAAAAGAGAAAACAGGCCTCTGAAACGAGCAATGCAACTTCTGCTTTGCAAGACTTCAAGAGGACAATGTTAGGGAAGAAAAGGCTGTATAGATGGGAAGGATTCTGGCTCAGCAGACAGTGGGCTGCATATTTTACAAAGGCCTTGGTGAGTTAATCTGGAATGTCACCCTAATTCCTCTCCTTTAATAGGGAACATCTTTCTTTACCCTAGTAAACAATGAGGAAAACGATTTATTTCATTCTCACATAACACGGCAGCTTAAAAGAAAATGAGCCTGATCCTTGACTCTTGCTTCTTAGGGGATAAAAAGACTTTACAAGAACCCCCCAAGTCTTCTCTGCAAAGCATCAGATGAAACTTAAGGCAGTTATGATTTTGTTTTTGTTTTGCAATGGAAAGCCACTAAAATTGTTAAAGAATAGATTTCGCTTACGGTCCAGTTCCCAGCGCTGAGGTTCTGCAGAGCGCCCGCCGCCGCTTCCAATGTGTTGAAGTTCTGGCTTTCTGTGAGGATGGAGAGGTAAAGCCGCACCACCTCTGGCTGGTAGAGCAATTCGAACCCTGAAAATAGAAAGGAGGGAGTTTGTTTTAATGGGTCTGTTCAAAGTACGGCAAAGTCTGGAGCCAACACGCAGATTCTGGGGTGGCAGAGGTGCGTCCAGAATAGTGGTTCCCAACCATGAATCCCCAGAGGTTCTTAGACTAAAACTCCCAGAAGCTTCAACCATTAGCTGTGCTGAGCAGAATTTTGTGAGAGTTGTAGTCCCCGACCAGTCCTGGGGACCCAAGGATATGAACCACTGGTCTAGAATATCTTCAGTCCCTGTGGGAGCTCCAGATCAAGGTAATCTGTGCAGTTTCCACTTCCATGAGCTCAGACAAGTACCATTCATGAACAGGCACCATTAATAAATAATGTTACACTGTTAAAGCATTATTGGGCACAGTTCACAAAGGAATGAATGAATGAATACCTTTAAAAAATAAGTACGCAAATATATATTACAAATATTCTTGAATTCTATAATAATTTTAGCTAAGACATCCAATTGGGATGATGAGTCTCACTCAACTTTCTCACAGTTCATGCACACACATCCCAATAAAACCCACTCATATGTAATGAATGAATGAATGAATGAATGAATGAATGAATGAATGAATGAATGAATGAATGAATGAATGAATGAATGAATGAAAGAAAGAAAGAAAGAAAGAAAGAAAGAAAGAAAGAATGACTTTAAAAAATAAGTACGCAAATAAATATTACAAATATTCTTGAATTCTATAATCGTTTTAGCTAGGACATCCAATTGGGTTGATGAGTCTCACTCACCTTTCTCACAGTTCATGCACACACATCCCAATAAAACCCACTCATATGTATGTGTTTATCTAAAAATATTTCTGATCTCTCCTATACTGACAGATCTTGGAGGGGGTTAAAATCAATAAAATCACATTTATTTATTTTATTTGCAAGATTTTTTAGCTGCACCATTACCAGTGGTCTCTGAGTGGTGTACAGCAATATTAAAAGTTTAAAATCATTAAAAAGATTAAAAATAGGCAATACTTGAGCAGCGTACAACAATATTAAACCTTTTAAAACATTAAAACTATTAAAAATAGGTACTATAATAATATCCTACATTAAAAACAACCATTAAAGCATTAATATTAATAAATCCTGCTGCTCATATGGCCAGCTAAAGAAAACTATTAAAATGGTGGCTAAACAGAAAGGTCTTTGCCTGGCGCGGAAAAGCCAAAAGTGTTGGGAGCCAGGCGGATCTCTATAGGGAGGACCTTCCAAAGTTGGGGGACAACAGCTGAGAAGGCCCTATTTCAACATGTCATCCCACCTCACCTCTTCCAGGGATGGCACCTTCAGAAGAGCCTCCTGGCCTGATCTTAGAGGACAGACAGGCTCGTATGGAAGAAGGCGGGCCTTAAGGTAACCAGGTCCTAAGCCATTTAGGGCTTTATTTGTCGAAGTAAGCACTTTGAATTGGGCCCGAGCAGCATCCGGCAGCCAGTGTAATTTTTTCAGAACCGGCGTGATATGAGTCCATGCGGTGGCACCACTTGCCAACCGCCCAGCCCAGTTCTGTGCTAGTTGCAGTCGCTGGACTGTCTTCAAAGGCTTTCTGGGAGTTGAAGTCCAAGAACATCTGGAGGCCCAAGGTTGGACACCGCTGCTTTAGGTAACCAGGTCCTAAGCTGTTTAGGTCTTTATATGTCAAAGTAAGCACTTTGAATTGGGCCCGAGCAGCATCTGGCAGCCAGTGTAATTTTTTCAGAACCGGCGTGATATGAGTCCATGCGGTGGCACCACTTGCCAACCGCCCAGCCCAGTTCTGTGCTAGTTGCAGTCGCTGGACTGTCTTCAAAGGCTGCCCCACATATAGCGCGTTGCAGTAGTCCAGTCTGGTTGTTACCAATGCATGTGTTTCCAGAAAGAGAGCCTGTAATTTTTTGAGGTAGCCCATTCCACTGCTAAACATCATTTAATATCAGGAAGTTCATCCCAATGTTTAATTAAAATCTCCTTTGAATCCAGTGGTTACGTCCTGAAACATGACTGGTCCATTTGCCATACGGCAGCCCTTCAAATATTTGAAAATGGCCCCAACATCACCTTTGTATATGCAGAACATTCACATTTTACCCTGCTGAAATTCACTGTATTTTGCCTTAGTTCTTCTATCTGACAAGATCATCGTGGATCTTTATTACGTCTTCAGAATTATTAGCTACCCCTCCCAGTTGGCATCTCTTGACATTAAGAGACAAATACAATTTGAAGACTTTAAAGAAATGAAAACACTTTAAAACACTTTTAAATGTCATTCTCGAGTCACAACTGTGGGAGAGAATCTGTAACATGACAACTGTTGAACTGCAAAGTTCAACTTTGAAATGTAGACTCATTACAAGTTCTTCATTGTGCCTAATTTCCCTCTTTTCAGCTTGTGAAAAGAAGAAGGAAATGCTCTTTGCTCTTGTCTAACTGGAACTATAGCTTTGTTCTTCCTGGTTTAATAGAGCCATTGCTATTTTGCAGATTAATCCAATGTCTTTACAGACAACAACTGTGTTTTCATTCTGAACCTTTTACCTGGCCTCTCTTCCAGGGAGGTGACATAAGAAACACCATAAGGAATTCTATTTTGAAATGCTATTCTCACTGCCAGCCTTCGGAATATAGTGGTGCCTTGCTAGACGATGATAATCCGTTCCACTGAATCGCTGTTTAGAGAAATCATCGTCTAGCGAAAAACATTTCCCCATTGGAATGCACTGACACCTGTTTAATGCGTTCCAATGGGGAAGAATCGTCGTTGTCTAGAGAAGATCGGCCATAGGAAAGCCGCTTTGCGAACCGCCGATCAGCTGTTTAAATAGCTGTCTTGCGAAGCTTAGGTCCCGAAAACACCCGTTTTGTGAGCATGGAGGGAGCTGTCAAAATCGTTGTCTAGTGAAAATCGGTTTGCGAAGCAGTGACCAAACATTGTCCAGCAAAGTTCCCCAATAGGAATCACTGTTTTGCAAATCGTTTAATTGAAATCTTCTTTGAATCCAATGGTTACGTCCTCAAACATGACTGCTCCATTTGCCATATGGCAGCCCTTCAAATATTTGAAAATGGCCCCAACATCACCTTTGTATATGCAGAACATTCACATTTTACCCTGCTGAAATTCACTGTATTTTGCCTTAGCTCTTCTATCCGTCAAGATCATCTTGGATCCTTATTCCGTCTTCAGAATTATTAGCTACCCCTCCCTGTTGGCATCATTCAGAAACTTGAAGAGCACTCCCTTTATTCTTTCTTCTCAAATAATTTACAAACATGATGGACAGCACCATCAGGACACAATCGTATGGTAGTCTTCTTGTAACCTCTCTCCAGGATGATGAGAACCCACTGGCGAACACTTGTTGGGCACAAGACCCTCAAACAGCTACAAAACCACCTAACAACAGCAGTGTAAAGCCTGTATTTTACCAGAATGTCAACAAGAATACCATGGGGGGGGGGGAGCTTGTAGAAGACCTTGCTGGAATCAAGACCTACTACTGCTCCACATTCCTCTGATCTACTATAATTGCAACACTATTTTAGAAAAAAGGAGAAAAAATCAATCTGGCATGGCTTGGTTTTGAGAAACCCAGCAATCATTCTGTTCTAAGAGTTCGCAGGCCAACTGTTGAATTATCTGCTCTTGATGCTTTCCTGCTATTGTTGCCTCAGTATAGTTTCCCCCAATCTTCTTTCCTGTTCTTCTTGCATACCTTCACAGCAAACTACAAAGCATACCAGAAGTTACCTGTGCATCATTTCTTAGCTGCCTGCATCTTCCTTATCAATCCAGCTGCTCCCTTTGCAATAGGGGCTTTATAATTTAATTATTGCCATGTTCTTCCAGCTGCGCAGGCGGCCATCAAACCCTTCCTTGAAGTACCTTGCGAAGCAGATTCCTGCAAGGCACAGCTGTTCCAAATTCCATTAAGCACCTGCTTCTCTCTATGTCTTTAATTTCAAAATCATCTTAATTATTTCTTTTCCCATCGTACTCACCACTTTTGTGTAATATACTGCTAATTATCTGAGCAGCTTTAAAAAACAAAAACAAAATCAAAGCAACACAGAATCAGAAAGAGACAAAAAGGTCAATCAAAGTTGGTAATGCGCTAATAAGAGTTCCTCCAAAGGAACAGGGACAAAATGCTAATTGCTGTCTTACTTGTTCTTTTAAAAAAGGTGGTGGTAATTAAAAGCCAACTTTGGCAAGGATCAACTAAAAGGTCTGTTGAACTACCTTAGCTGAGCAAGCACAGTCTAAGATGCACCTTTCCATAAGACACACCGATTTTTTAGGAGAAGAAAACAGGAAAATATAATCTGTTTTCTTCGCTCCATAAGATGCACAGACTTTCCACCCCCCTGTTTTGTGGAAAAAACGTGAGTCTTATGGTGCAAAAAATACAGTATATGATTCTGGAGATGGGTGTGTTTGTGTTTCTCATTCAATTGAGTGTAATTCTACAAATCCTGTAACAGACAAAGACCACGTAAAACCTTTCTTTCTCTCTCTCTCTGTATGTATGTGTGTATATGTGTGTTGGGAGTGTGTGTTTGTCCTTCATAACTTCAAGTCCCTGAAGGCCGGACATGGAGGAAGAAAGGAAGGAACAGAAAATTGAGAAGAAATAAAACAAACAGTGGAAATAGTTAAACAGAAGAAGAAAACACTTTAGAAGAGAATGAAAGGAATTCAGGCATAAAAATCAGTTAAAAGTGGATAAAAGAAAAGGAAGCAAAAGGGACAAATTTAAAAATGAAATTCAAAACTTAACAGGTGAGCCCTGCATTAAAGGTAAAGGTTCCCCTTGACATTTAGTCCTGTCATGTCCGACTCTAGGGCGCGGTGCTCATCCCCGTTTCCAAGCCGTAGAGCCAGCGTTTGTCTGAAGACAGTTTCCGTGGTCATGTGGCCAGTGCAACTAGACACGGAAGGCTGTTACCTTCCCACCGAGGTGGTACCTATTTATCT